ATAATATAACTCTAGCATCCAAATCAAGGGAGGTGCTTATTCTGTTGTGTTCGTGCACTGGTTAGGCCACATCTGTAGTATTGTAATCAGTTTTGGGTGCCACATTTAAGAATAAAGATTGAAAAATCATAATGCAGTTCAGAAAAAGAGAGAGTATAGTGAATTATCCAGGAATGATGTCATATAAAGGACATTTGAAAGAGCTGGAGGTGTTAACCCTCTCTTGAAGTAGTAAAAGGCAAAAATTTGGACAAGGCCCCTAAATAAAGAAGCAAGCAAAATAGCACATCGTTTGTTGTCTGAGTTCACAGGCATGTAGTCTCAAAAGAAAAATACGCACACATATGTGTGTGTATATGCATATACACATACAGATATATCCATATATCACTGTGATTCAGGAGATTTCTCTTTCTCACATTTTCTCCATTTCTTCATTCTCTTCTTGCTTTCATTGTTCTAAATGAACTCTGCTCTAGTATTTCATCTACTAGAACATCTATGCGTAGGTTTTTCACTTTTGTCGTCATTGTTATTATCATAATCATTATTATCACTATTATTTGTTGTTCAGTTGTGTTCAACTCTTTGTGACCCCATTTTGGTTTTTGTTGTTGTTGTTTTCTTTCTTTCTTTCTTTTTTTTTTTTTGACAAAGTTACTGGAGCAGTTTGCCATTTCCTTCTCCAGCTCATTTTACAGATGAGGAACTGAGGCAAACAGGATTAAGTAACTTGCCCAGGGTCACACAGCTAGTAAGTGTGTGAGGCCAGATCTTAACTTGGGGAGATGAATTTTCTTGATTCCAAGGCCTGGCACTCTGTCCACTGCACCACCTAGTGGCTAGCTATTAGTTTGCAAGATTATTTGTATATTGGCATAATTTAACTTTCTAGAGTGCTAAAGGAGAGGGAACAGGGAGTGCTTACAAGGTAATTAAGAGGATTATTTATGCTAACACTTTGGAAATGAATGAGGCAGGGATTACAAAGCTTGACTTCGATTACTGGAAAAATATTAGCATGGCTCACTGGAAGCAATGATTACAAAGAGCCAGCATAGCTTCATCCAGAGCAGGTCATGCCAAGCTAACTTCATTTCCTTTTTTGTCAAAATTGCTGAACTACAGGATAAGGAGAATGCTGTGGATAAAGTTTATCTAGTTTTTTGCAAAACTTTTCTCTAACATATATCATGCAATTCTTATGGAGAAGATGGAGAGGTACAGATAAAGAGTAGGTACTGGACCTGCAATTTAGTGATAGAGGTACTTCCTAGAGAAGGGAACTCCATCCACTAAGCAGGTCATTTAACATCATAGTCAGGAAGGATAATGAAAAGCCACAAACACCTTCTCTGCAACTTAGTTATAGAGAGTTGCCTAGAACACTTAGATTAAGAGACTTGCCCAGGGTTACACAGTAAGTAGATGTCAGAGCCAGGATTTGAAGCTAGGTCTTTCTGGATTCAAGGCCAGCTCTCTATCCATTACTTTATGGCTGCTAAACAATAATACAATCAAATGGATTCAGAATTGGTTGTATGGCTGAATTCAAAGAATAGTTGTTAATAGTTCGTTGTCAATGTGAAGGTCTCTAGGGAAGTATTCTAGGGATCTGTGCTTATCTTGTGCTGTTTAACATTTTTATCAATGACTTGGATAGAGGTATAGATGGTATGTTTATCAGATCTGCAAATGACAAAAATCTGGGAGGGATAACAGAGAAAGGATCCAAAAGGATCTTGATTGGCTAGAACTTCAGGCTGAATCAAATGAGATTCAAGAGAGATAAACGTTAAGCATGTGGGTATAAATAACTTTACAAGTTACAACTTTTCAGTGTTCTGAAAAAGATCTGGGGGTTTTAGTGGACTACAAGCCCAATATGAGTGATATGGCAGCCAAGAAAGCCATTGCAATCTCAAGCGGCATCAAGAGGGGCAGAACTTCCAGCAATAGGAAAGTGATGATCTCACTGTACTCTGAGCTCATCAGACTTCATCTGGAGTGTTGACTTCAGTTCTGGACACCATAGTTTTAAGGACAGTGATAAGCTGCAGAGTATCCAAAGGAAGTCATCCAGGATAGTGAAGGGCCTTGAGTTCATACCAGATGGAGGAGATCAGTTGAAGAACAGGCAGGGTGTACTTTGCCTAGAGAAGAGATGATTCACAGGGGACATGATAGATGTCTTCAAATGTTCAAAGGCCTGTCATGTGGAGAAGGAATTAGATTTGTTCTGTTTGATCCTTAAGGACAAAACCAAGAACAATAGATGCAGGTGGCAAAGAAGCAAATTCAGCCTTGAAGCAAGGAAAAGATTGCTAACAAGTTGTACAATACTTAAATTAACTGCCTAAAGAGGTGATGGGTTTCCCTTCCTTGGAATTCTTCCAGTGGTGGCGGGATGACCACTTATTGGGTAAACTATGCTGGGGAATTCCTTCATGCATGGGTCAGACCAAATGGCCACTGAGGTCCCTTGCAACTCTCAAATTCTATGAATCAATGATCATCCCTTGCCAGCTAGGATGAATCAGTGCCATCTATCCTCCCTTCTAGAAGAAGCCCCAATTAATTTGACTAATCCAGGCCATCTGCCTAGGACGAGGAGGGGTGAAAGGGATATCAGATAGAAAGACAAGCAAGCAGAGAGTAGAGGGGTTTCTCTGAACTCCAGGACCCAGTGTAAGGTGCTTATATGAGCTGAAGATGCACAGCCTCGTGAAGGAGGAAATAAAGGTAAACAGTAAGATAAAGGCTCATATGAGAGGTGCAAGAAAGAGAGGCTCCTATGACTATGCTCTCCCCAACCCACCATAAAGCCTATCTTGTGAGGTTTCGTGCTGTGTGCAAAAGAAGACTTAAAGATAAATGGAATGTAGGGGTTGGACCTATAAAAAGCACCCTCAGGTGACCAACCTGTTTCCCTGGGAAAGAAACAGACACTATTTGTAAAGGAAAGCCAAATTGTGGAAATTAGTGAGAAGTGAGCGACAGGAAGCCAGGAAGCAAGGGTTACTGAAGACAGTAATGGCAGTGAGAGAAATGTCACCTACTGGGGATTAACAGAGACCACAGAAGAATAACGGTCAACATGTAGGAACAATAATGGGGAACAATAACCAATGATACCTTTTAGGCATGGAGGAGAGATGCAAAAGGCAAATCACAGATAAACTTAGAGGAAAACATTGATTTGGAGAAACAAATCTCAATCACTGCTGTCTGGAACCTTCTAGGTCATTACTATGTCATTGAGACTGTAAAATATTCTGTAGAAACATTACTTGTGTGTGTGTAAGGGGGTGGTATTGATACCTCAATGGGCTCAAATACAAATCCTAACTCTTTCCATTAACTTATAAATGAAACTGTTCATATTTTGAGGCTTTGGAGCCCAGGTGCTTGTAAAGGAAACCTAGACAGTATCTCAGGTGAATGCCAAATGCTGAATTTCCTGGAACATCTCAATGGGGGCAAAAAAAAGCAAAAACAAACACACACACACACACACACAGAAGTAAGATGTTTCCAAAGGATACTTGGTCCTTGCATATCAGGAGGGTGTCTCTAACAAAGGGTTACACCAAGAAATGTAAAATATAGCAGAACCAAAGCATTTTCATCAGACACATTTTAAAGGTCCTGTAATAATGAGGGAGAAGGACTGATTTGTGGTAAGAGAGTGGTACATATCTTCATATCTAGTTCCTTTTACTCTTTCTTTCTTCCCTTTTCCTTTTTTTGGGGGGGAGGGGATTGGGCTGGAAGAGAAGGTGACTTGAAAAATGAAGAATTTGCCTATCGTAGACTGAGAAGATGAGATTGAATTTGAGCTGCCTTTCAAAATTAGCTCTTATATCTCAACTGAGGCATTGGCAGCCTACTCAAGGATTTTCAGTGTCACATCACTGGTCACTAGGGACTTATAAAAATTGAGAAGTAGGCAAAGTTTTTCTATGATATCCTCCCAGTTCCCTTTCTGAGCCCTTTCCCCACTTTTTGCCTTCTCTCTCTTACCTACTCTGCACGCCCCTCTCCAATGTCCTAATGCAGCCCTTTGTCCAACACACTACCTCCCATCGGAAATGTGGCTTGCCCTGGCAACCGTAGTCAAATCACCAGTACATGTGCTTCAGGAAAGGGCATATCAATCACTGCAGCCCCGGGTCTACAATCACCGTCTCCATGATTCCACCCCCAACTCCAACCAAAACACTCTTCCTGGCCCACTCATCCCGTTAACTCTATTAGAATGTAAGTTCCTTGAAGGGAGGGGCCAGCCTTGCTTCTGTACTGTATAAAACAGAGCTAAGCACTGTGCATTGTCTCCTCGACTCAGATCTCGGTGCTAATCAGAAAAGTCAGCTTAATCCTAAAGCTCTGGGGCGGAAGGGCATTGCAACCTTCAAATTGAAGCGGGCTGCACTCTCAGCTAAGCAATTTTGGCTGCCCGGTCCCAGAGAGGGGAAATCGCTGGGGCAACAGCCCCGTAGGGGGTCGGAAAGGGGTTGACAGAGAACAGTCGCTGCACCCCTAGGCTCTGTCCGCCAGAGCTCGCTCTTTCTCTTCGCCTCCGCGGAGAACATGCACTGGAACCCCGAGCTCACCGCCCCCCTCCCCGGCGGGGCGGGGAGGCGGGGGCGGGAGCAAGGAGTCCTGGCCCCGTGTGCCCCTCCCCATCCCTTACTCCCTCCTTGTCCCAGCGCCGGTGCCGACGTCGGCGTTGGCTCCAGTCGCCATGGTGACAGATCGAGTATCGAACCCGCCCCCCTTTGCTTCCCTCCCCCACCCCCATCCCGGCCTCCCTGACGTCGGCGGACGTCAGCGACGGCGCGCGCCTGGCTGGGCCCCGCAGAGCGGGAGGGAAAAGGGGCGAAGGAGCGAGCGGAGCCGCCGCCGCCACCGCCGCCGCTGTCGAGCCCGAGCCGGAGCCGTGTCCGCGCCCGCGTCCGCCCGCCCGCCCGCCCGTCCTCGAGTCCGCCCGTGTCCAGCAGCGCGGCCCAGCATGGTCATGGCGGATGGCCCGAGGCACTTGCAGCGCGGGCCGGTTCGGGTGGGGTTCTACGACATCGAGGGCACGCTGGGCAAGGGCAACTTCGCCGTGGTGAAGCTGGGGCGCCACCGCATCACCAAGACCGAGGTGCGGCCCGGGGACCCGGGCACCGGGGGGGAGGGGAGCAGCCGGGCGGACCGAGAGGCTGGATCCCCGAAGCCGAGGCCAGCGCGGCCTGGGAGAAAGCCCGGGGCGCGGGTCCGACCCGAGGGCACCGGGGCCGAGCTAGGCGGCTGCGGGCACGGAAACCCGACCGCCCCCAAGTCCGCGCCCCGGCCCGGGGACCGGAGTGTTTGCTCTTCCCGGCGCCCGGCCGGGGGGGGTAGGGTGTCTTCGGTCTTCGTGGGGTTGGGTGGCATCACCCCCATTTGTAGGAAAGGGACCCTGCCTCCGTCTTCCCTCCCCTTCGGGTCTCGACCGTCCGGGTTTTGCAAAACGGACAGAAGGCGTGAGACCCCTCGGGGCAGGGGTGGCGAGGCTTGCTCCTCGGGGAACCACGGGGGGTCTTCCCTTTGCCCCGCACCTTGAGGAAGCCCCCTTGTCCCTGGGGAGGTCTGTGCCAGCCTCTGTCCCTTTCGCCCCTCCTGCAAGGCGCTCTTAGGTCTCTGGGTTCGGGAGTTGAAGTCTCTCACCTAGGTGGCTTTTGCATTTCACTCCGAAGACAATGGAACTGGCTCAAATATTTAGTGGTGTTGAAGATGTCAGTGCTTAGTTACCTCTGGGTCAGCCTCGCACCGAATCTGAGCTTTAATCTAGGAGGTTGTGCCTTTGCCGCCGGCGCTTGGGAGTTGTGAGCCTATTCCTTTAAACCACAGAAGATTTTGACTCTACTAAAAAAAAAAAAAAAAAAAAACACAAACAAACGCTTCATTACTAACAGAAGGTAGACATCCTTCCATGTATTGCACATCCTGATGCCCCTCACAAATCTCACTACCTTCCCTCTTTAGTCAAACTCATTCGCCTGCAATTTCTATTTACTGCCTCAAGCTGCTTTCTTCTTTTTCTCTATTTTAAGTCTTTCAAATTAGATACCTTTGAAAAACCTTGGAAACAAAAGCCACTTCTCTTGGAGGGTAAAACCCTGTGTTTTTGAGGTAGGCTATTGTGTCGTATTTTAGTTGCTAATAGAATCTTTTCCCTGGCCACCTTTTTCAATTTGTACTAATGGCGATCCCAGTTTGAACGTGAGGTAAAGTTAATATACTTTCCCTTTCTAGGGGTTGTTTTCAAAATGCCAAGCGGCCTGAAAGTGCCATTATTATTTTTTGCTCATTTTTTTTTTCCCGATTGGCTTTCAGAATGATTTTCTCCAAAATCCCTTCTTAATCTGACATGGTGGGCTCCTTTCTTAGGAGAAAGGAGCTTTGTTATTGTGTCATCTTCTATCTTTGGCTTCTCTGCTGATGCTAAAGCATCCCAAATGTGAGATACCTCCTTGTTCCTTTAACAGCTGGACCAAGGTCACAAGGTTGTTTTCTCTTGGTCACCAAATTTACCAGTATTAGCTATCTGCATCAGGTTTGTGCTGACAGCCAGGAAGTAAACATAATGAAATTACCAATTCGTTGATCCATATTATCTCAATACTTATTTAATTTTAAAACAAACAGCAACAACACATGTCGAACTACACACAAATTCATGTGATTCCCTCAAAAATTAAGAACTAACGTAGCAAATTAAATACATGGAAATTGTATTTTAACATCTTTTTGGTTAATATTTGTCTGGAATATAAAGAACAATGTTTCTGAGCAAAAGTTCAAAGTATGTAAGTATTAGAATCTGCATGTTTCATACATTGTGTTACATTCTAAGCAGTTCAGTCTGGCAGTATTTTTTAAATCAGTTCTGATGATCTTAGATAGCAGAATTTACATATGTCTTGTCACTTTGTCATGGCCATCCTAGGTGCTATCTGACCCCTAGAAAATGGCAACTCAAATCCTCCCTGTATTTCCTTTTGAGCAGGTATTGAATTAATACATTATTATGGAACTAGGTGTCTCTATGCTGTAGGTCCTGTCTTTTAATAGAAGTATAAAAGTGAAGGGTCTAATAGCTATATGTTAGATATATCAAGACTCTTTGTAATAGTGTGGTGGAGTCAAGGAAGGACTGAGTATACCAGAAAGTAGATTTCCAGTCTACAGAGAACTGGATCTAGCTTTGAAAATGAGTTTTATTAGTAAGTAAAAAGAAATTTGAAGCCGATTTGGAAACGGGAAGAGGTATTTTCCTCCTATGCTACCCCTTCCTGCCATAGTTCTTGGGCTTGTGTGCCGTGGTTTGGTGAGTGGCCTAATAATGTTAGCTCATGTTTGAAGAAAGAAATGAAGTGAAAGAAGTGGAAAGTCAATAGCCAGTCAAACAGCAAAGAGCTTGCTTCTCTTTAGTTGAAGTTTTAATTTTCATGGTGGCTTTTAAGTAAGAATTGCTGCACAAGTAGTACAGATTCAGATATGGTACTTCACCTGCCTTACAGAGTTATTGTGAGCATCGAATGAGATAACATAAAGAGCAGATTGAAAATCTTAAAGAGCTATATAAATTCTAGCTATCCTTTAACAGACAATGACTTACATGGATAGGACCTAGATAAAACATTTGTTGTCCTGAGTTGTCTGAGGTTTGGAATTATTTATAACTAATTCAACGAAGAGCTATGGAACTAGTTACTTCATTTTACTTCCTCATATGTTTATTGTGATGGGATTTTACCTTATGTATTAAAATTTTCTTATATTCTGGGATGATTTTTTAAATAAACAACAATTATGTCAAAGCTTAGTAAAGCCTAGATTGAAATACCAGTTATGAATTCAGCCTACAAAACTAGGCTACTAGTGGAATTGTTTCTTAATTTTAAACATTTCAAATTATAATGCTATTGAATGAATTATGAGAATTATAATGAGAGCATTTAAATACAAATAAGTAACAAATTTTTGAAACTTCTGTTTGGAATTCTAAATTTGTATATATAGCAATAAAAATATGTATGGACAGCATGTTATTAAATACATCACTATATTTACAATTTTTTTTGAAACTTTTGATTTGAATAGACTTTAGAATTGAATATTCAATGTAAATACATGCTTGGGAAGCTAGAAATGACATCTTGTTCTGAAGTTTAAACGAAAGGTAAATCTTAGGCTTTGCTTGAATATTATGAACAACTAAACACTGGTTCTGTTTTTAATTGATTCCTCCTTTCCTCCTGTGTCTCATTTTTTTAAAAAGTAGTATATGTGAAATGTTCATAGGCGAGTCACTTATCCTCTCAGTACATCAGGCAATTATCTAAAACTTAAGTTGCAATGAAGGTTCTCTCCTGCATTGGTAGAGAGAAAAGACTTGCAAGAAGAGCATATCCACACTTGGCAGGTGACTTTATTCACTGAAATAAGAGGTCCAGTTCCTATCCCTATGTGCATTGTATGAACCTTAAGGAATTCAGGTTTATTTCTGTGTCTCAGTTGTAGCAAAGACTCCAAAGTTGTAGCAAAGTGAAGAACACTAGATTTTTCAGGCTGGGGACTCTTGGATTCAAATCCTGCTTCTGCTACTTTGTCCTTTTCTCCCTCTGGCAAATCACTTAACTCAGTCTCTTCGTCTGTAAATAAGGGGTTTGATTTTGAAGATCTAAGGTCCCTTCCAGCCTGAAATCATGTAGGCACACTTCATTTTGGTTAATCCAGGGGTCTGAAACTACTGAACTGCATATGGCTTCTTGAGCATATGCTTGTTTCTTTTTAAGCCAATATAAAGGAATGAGTCTGTACCTGTGTGACTCATCTGCACCAACTTGTCCTGGATTAGGAATAATGAATCACTAGCCTTGGAGTCCATTAAAGCTCAGAGCTCTTAAGCTTCCCTTTTTTTCCTTCCCTCATTCCCATTCTCCTTTCCTCTCTCCTCCACCCAACTTTGGAGTACTCTCCTTTGGCTTTTTCTCTTTAGATGTTAATTTAATAAGTATTTATTAAACACCTGTACATGTGGAAAAGTTTAGATAAGAATCTGGCTTCATGGAACTTAAAGCTTCTAGGGGGCACGATATACACCAAGAGTTTTAATACAAAATAATGCATTCAGGGTTTATCAAAGTGCTATGCGAAGTCTGAGGGTGTTGAGGAAATGGTAGCATATAAGCTTCATTTTTTAAGGCCCTTCCATCAGTTTCTAGGCCAGACATATAAGCTTTTATATCTTATAGGAACTTTCTAGAGAAAAATTATTACTTGGTCTCTCTATTATTTTAACCTATATAAATAATAATAGTAACTAACATTTATAGATACAATGCTTTAAAGGTTACAGTGCTTTACATACATTTTTCTTATTTGAATTTCACAGCAGTCCTGTAAGACAGGTACTTTAGGTGTTATTCCATTTTTTTACAGAATAAACTGAGGCTTAGAGAGCTTGTGATTTGCTGAAGATTCCACAGCTAATAATAATTAGAGGTGGAATTTGCATTCAGGTCTAATTGATTCAAAGTTATCCTTCTATGTACTCTATTACATTACCTGTTGAAATTAAGTAAAATAACAGAAGTATAGGAATCAAAACATTGATGGAGTTAATGTAACATCCATCACATCATTTGAATATATGTATGTGTGTGTATATATGCATATACATATATTATATGCACACAAAATAGTCTATTTTTAAAACTATAGCCTAAGTGCTAAAATAAATAGCTCTTCTCTCTTAAAAACAGTTATTGACCCCATCTAGTCTTTCAGATCACTTCATGTTATCCAGTACCTTTGGATTATTTCTGAGGTTCTTGTTTCTCCCTTTGTTAATTTAATTTTACATGAAAGAAGAAGCTGGTTTCACTCAGCTGGAGTGGAGAATCTAGCTTATTTTTATTATATATTCCAAAATATATATTCCAAAAAAGCTTTCTATTTGTTTATGGCTTTTTTTAGTCTGTATCAGAGAAATAAGTTGAACTTTCACATGTCATTGAAACTGTGTAGGTTTGACTATTGTTTCTCCTCCTGCAAATTATAATACTTCCATATCTTCTCATTTTGTGTGATTCTTGCCCAAGTTTTCCCAAACCA